AAAAAGCAGCATTCATTCAGGGGTGAAGCTAGAATTCCACCTTCCACTCCATCTCTCTTGCTTCGCAGCTCGAGCTCTTTCCTCTGACCTTTGACACTTCCAGCGTCTAGGCTCTAAACGTACTAGATCCCTCTGGAAGACGCAACCAAGTATTCCAACTGGACAAATAGGGGCTGGGGAAGAAGCACGTAAATTTCATCTAAACTCAGCAAAAATTCAGCCCGGGTGTGGAGTAACAGTGTATTAGAATGCAACAGGCCCAGGTCCAGCAACCGGAGCTGTTGCCACTCTTGACTGCGAAGGTTCCAGTGCTTGCACGGAGGGGTTTCTCACCTCCCCCGGGAGTGCACGATGCTGGAAGTCACTTCTAGGCAGGCAGAAGGAAGTCATTTGCCTCTAGATCTGTTGCCAGAGAGTGGCCACACCCCATCTTGTGCTTCCTACATACCTGCCACACACCTAGCAAGTGTGCTCTCCATAAATAAACTTCAGGATTAAGGTCATTTTTTGTGAATGATTTGTGATGAAGCTGTTGGAGGTAACTGCTGATCAGATGTAAAGGAATGAAATGGACTGAAGCTGAGATGGGCAGGATCCAAAAAGATCTGAATGAACTAGGGTGATGGTCAAATTATCCAAGATATAATTTAAATCACATAAAAGGAGTGACATATACTTCCCATCCCTAAAAAGGAACGCCCCAAGATGGTGGCGCTCTGGCTTCATCGGAGCACTTGAGAAAACATGAATTGAATTCAGGTACTGAAGGGACTCAGACTGTTACACGGAAGAACTAGCATCAGTGGGAGGCAAAAGTAAAAATACTCAGAACAAGTCCAGACTGTGATGCCCTGGGGGCTGCGATAGCACCTGAGGCTGCACACATTCTGCACCTACTGTGTGCCAGAACCTGGAACCCTGCAGGGAGAGAAGCAGTCCAGTCCCTGCTTTTATGGAATTTACATTTTTATGATATGCATCAGCTAGCAATAAATGCTGAGACGTGATGGTGGCTGCTCTAGACGGGATGAGCCACAGAGATCCCCTTTAAGGAGGTGATATTCACGATGGCCAATGTATGGGGAAACGGGGCAGCCATTTCTAGACCTCCCTCCCACTCCTCTGCTCCCAACTCTGGGAGGGAGAGCTGGAATGCTGCGGTCATTAAGGCTGGGCCAGAACAGGGAAGGCTTACAGGCCGCTGGCTCGCGTGCCCTGCTCTCTAGGCCTGCGAACGTGCTACGCAAGAACAGAGAGACGAGGCTAGCGAGAGCGGCCAGCGAAGGGATTCCTAGGGGCGCATGCGCGAGAGCCACTGCGACACCTTGCGCCTGCGCGCGAGAGCGGGAAGCCCAGCTGAGTGAGAAGCCCGGGAGGGCGGTGCGCGGCGCAGTGACAGTTGCAGCTGCGGCGCAGAAGAGTTGAGGGGAAGTGCGGCGCTGGGTCTGCAGGCGTGATGGACACCGTGCAGCTGAAAATAAAACATCGTCCCTTCTGCTTCAGTGTGAAAGGCCACGTGAAGATGCTGCGGCTGGTGAGGCCGGGCGCGGAGGGTGGGAGGCTGTTGAAGCTGCTGGGGGGGGGGGGGGGGGTGGGAGATGTGGCTCTGAAGTGCGAGGCTGATTGCGCTGTTTGCTTTTCAGCCTCGCTTTGATCAAGATTGAAAGGCAAGGCACGGCCTTGTGGGGGAAGAAGGAGAGGTACGGCACTGTCCTCCCCTTTGGAGGGTTTAGGGACACATCCATCAATACCAGAGAGGGCAGGAGTTGTGGCCTGCATCTGTGGTCCCAGCACTTTGGGAGGCCCGGGGCAGGAGGATCGCTTGAGCCCAGGAGTTCGAGGCTGCAGTGAACCATGACTGCACCACTGCACACAAGCCTAAGCAACAGAGACAGACTCTGTCTGG